ACTGTATGAAAGTGCTCCATAAATGCAAGCTGTTGGCAATCGATGGAGAAATGAGGGAATAGAGATGAGATTTTAACCACAGGCATTATTACAGCTTCCTTGTTAAAAATCATGGCAGGTCCACAATTCAAAAATATCTGCTCTTGTTTAAATCCATTTCAGGTTTTAATGATTAATTATTCTGGTTAATGTACAAATGGCTTGTTATGGTTTTGATTAGTTTCAGATAATGTGGTTAAAGGCGGAATGAATTGGAATATTTGTGGGAAGTATGCTGTGTGAGAATATGTACATATTTGGAATGTGTGTGAGGTTATGTGTGTCCTTGTGTTCTCGGTGTGAATGTATATGTTTTACATGAATGTGTACATGTGTGTGTACATGTGTTCTGTGTGTGTGTATGTGTCCTATTTGTGGGTGTGTATATGTGTTCTGTGTGAGGATTTGTACATATATGTGTGTGTGTAAATGTGTATGTGTGTGTATGAGAGCGTGCGTGTGTTTGCGTATATGTATAAGAGAGTGTGTGTATGAGAGTGTGTGCGTGTTTTTCAGAGTGCATGTGTGTGTCTGTGAGAGTGTGTGTGTTTGTGTGTGCATGTCTGTGTGTGTGTATGTATGTCTTTGGGAGCGAGTGTGCGTATATGAGATTGTGGGTGGATGAATGTGTATGTGTCTGTGAGTATGTCTGTGTGTCTTTCTGTGTGCGTGTGTGTCTGTGTGTCAGAGTGTGTATGTGTCTTTGGGAATGAGTGCGCTTATGAGAGTGTTTGTGTATGGGTGTGTGTGTGTCTGTTACTATGAGTGTGTGTATGTGGCTGTGTGTGAGTCTGTGTGTGTGTCAGTGCAAATGCGTGTGTGTGTGTGTGTGTTTGTGTGTTTGTGTGTTTGAGTGAGTTTGTATGAGGGAGCGTGTGTGAGAGAGTGTGTTCTCAGAACAGTGTTGTTGCCTTTCCTTGCATTTCCTCTAGTGATGTGGGTGATCTGTAACGCTGCACCTTAAATAAAACCACACGGCCCTGACAGTTCTCCGAATCTCCTCTATTCTCACCTCAGCTGTAGAGTGGTAGACACCTCCGATTACTAATTACATCCTTTATGTCAAGCTTCTGCCAATTTCCCGTGAAGGGAACTCACACACACACACTCCAGGTGCATACCAGTAACTTGCAGCAGTGCAGAGTGTATAAATCCAGTTTTACAGTCTCCCTGTCAGATATAACAGGAGCAGAGCGGTCAAGGGTAGGCATCAGCTTTGCTAAAACCCACTCCACCTCTCCCAGAGTGTTCCAACTTTAGCTCAGCAGATTGCACTCTTACACCTGAGGCCAGAAGGTTTAAGACCCACTGCAGGATTGAAGCACAATAATTGATAATGACATTGCAGTGCAGTACTGAGGGATAGCAGCATTGTAGGAGTTGCCAGTTTTCAGAGGAGCCTCAGCTCATCTGGATGTAATGGAACCCGTGGCACTACGTCAATGAAGATCGGGGAAGTCATCTCGGACGTCTTGCCCTGGCTTAATTTTATCCCTCAGTCAACATCACAAAAACTGAACACATTTTACCCGGTCGTTATGTCATTGCTATTTTGGGAGCTTGCTGTGTGCACATTGGTTGCTGCAGTTTCCTCTACTCCAACAGTGAGTATACTTTAAAAAGTACGACGTCAGCTGAGACATCTAGTGGTCATGAAAGGTGCTATAAAAATGCAAACCTTTCTTTTTAGATAACAAGGTGTGGAGCTGGATGAACACAGCAGGCCAAGCAGCATCACAGGAGCAGGAAGGCTGACGTTTCAGGTCTGGACCCTTCTTCAGAAATCTTCCTTCTCCTTTGATGCTGCTTGGCCTGCTGTGTTCATCCAGCTCTACACCTTGTTATCTCAGATTCTCCAGCATCGGCAGTTCCTACTATCTCTGAATCTTTCTTTTTAACTTTGATTTACTTTTCTAGAGTGTGTCACAAACCGATGTCACCTGACGTCCCAGGAATTCTGGGATGGAGTGGGGTGGGGTCATTCACAAGCAGAATACCTAATGAAGTGGCTCTGAAGGAGCCCGGGTTGGCACCCTGACAGAGATCAGTGAGTTCAACATCTGCAATGTGCATTCACGTGGAGGAAGGAGAGGGGGCTGGGACGGATTGAGTGATTTTCTTCAAAGGGCCAACGCATGAACAGAGGGCCAGATGAGCAGCTTCTGTCCTCTGATAAACATCCGCAAAAGAGATACATTTCCCATATTAAAATAGCATGGGCTGGCAGTGGCCAGCGATATCGGATGTTATCCAATTAGTGCCAAACCATGGAAGCGATTTTTGATGTTGCTCCAGTGGTATATATAATCTTGCATCTGTGTCACCCCACTGGCACTTTCCCAGCTCCTAGAGTGTGTAACTGTTGTGTAACAGTGCAAAATATTATCACTGACCTGCTGGAATGTAAGTTCGACTTTAATCAGGCATTATGTAACCTCTCAAAAAGAACAGTTGAGCCTTTTATGACATGTAGCATATCAGTGGACCTCTGAGTGCTCCTGATAATTTCACACTGTGCCTCAGTGACAGTATTTTGTGGCTCACTCACAGACTGATGTGTGGTACACATTTCAAAGACACAATTGTCTTCATGTCTTCACAATATGTCTGAAACATCTGCCCCTTACTTCATGTGGGAACTTCTCTGATTGGAGTAAAAAGCATCTACTAAGGATGACATGACACACAATTTGACACTGAGCCATTAACTAGGGAATAATTGCTCCATCTGAGAAGTACATTTTCAGGAAGCGTTTGGAAGGAGGCGGAGAGCAAGGGAATTCCTGAACTAAAGACCAAAAAAACAAAGGATTTGTTCATTCATTGTCACCACAGCTTTTATTGAGTGTTTGACATTATCTTGTTTCTTCCCTGGCTTCTTTCATACCTCCAACAACCTGCATCTCAATGTTATCCAGCATTCTGATTTTTCTTCTGTTCCTTCTCCACAATTTCGTTTGCAGTCATTGCCAGGACAAGGCTGTGAAGACTTCTTTTCCAATGTCTGTACCTGGCGGTCTTTCTCTCTCTGACTGGACTCTGCAGCTTACTTGATTCCTGAACTTCTTGGTGCAACCCATTCGTGTGTCGTTCTGCCCATTCACCTGATTCTGAGCATCCTGTCCACCATTGACAAGATACAGGTCAGGAGGCAATGTTCTCCACTTCAGGAGGAGGCAAGGACTTACTGGTATTATCACGAGATTGTTAATCCAGAGACCCAGGCAGTGTCCTGAGAATCTGGGTTCAAATCCTGCCATGGTAAATGATGGAAGTTGAATTCAATGGAAATCTGGGATTAAGAGTCTAATGATGACCGTGAGACCATTATCGATTGTCTGAAAAACCCATTCGCTTCACTAACGTCCTTTAGGGAAGGAAACTGCCATCCTTACCTGGTCTGGCCTACATGTGACCCCAGACCCACAGCAAGGTGGTTGACTCTCAACTGCCCTCTGGGCAATTAGGGATGGACAATAAATGCTGCCTCAACAGCGATGTCCATGTCTCATGAATGAATATTAAAAACTTGGATGGACAGATACAGCTTTAACACCAGTTTGACACCATACCATACGCAAACATTCGCTCCATCCACCAGCAATGCTGCATCGTGTGTACTAGCTACAAGGTGCACTGCAAAGATCCTCAGACAGCACCTTCTAAACCCATAACCACTTCCAACTAGAAGGACAAGGGCAGCAGATACATAGGAATGCCGCCACCTTCAAGTTGCCCTCACCATCCTGACTTAGAAGTAATTGCTGTTCCTTCAGTGTCACTGGGTCAAAATCCTGGAATTCCCTCCTTAACAGCATTGTGGGTCAACCGACAGCACACAGAGTGCTGCGGTACAAGAAGGCAGCTCACCACCACCTTCTCAAAGGTAACTAAGGATGGGCAATAAATGCTGGCCTTAGCAACGCCCACATGCAATAAATATATTTTTCAAAAGTCCTCTACTGTATCCACATTCCAAAAGCTGCTACCTTCTTCCTCTTGCAGGAGGTGATAGTGGAGTGAGCTGGTCAGTGAACTAGTTACCCAGAGGCCCAGGCTACTGTCCTCCTGATCAGGGTTGTATCCCACGATGACAACAGGTAGGCTTCAAATTTAAGTAATAAACCCAGAGATTACAAACAGTGACCATGACAACAATTGTTGTAAAAAAAATCCGTCTTGGCTCACTAAAGGAAATGAAATCTGCCATCCTTACCTGGATCTACATGACTCCAGGCTCTCACGACTTAGTTGACTCCTAACTCCTGTCTGAAATGGCCATGCAAGTCAGTCAGTGCGAGGTCATTCAGGGACAGGCAACAAACGGTGGTATTGCCTGCGATGCTG